CTGAATACAAAGGTGGTTGGTGATGCTGTTGCTGGTATCTCTCCTATACATAATTCTAGTGAAAAATAAGTAGTCATCTGTGGTGACAAAAATGAGGTCCTTGAAAATAATACTGTTATCTATGGTATTGATACACAGATGATTAAAATGTTAAAAAATTATCTGTGCTTGTTGGCTGCAAATGCAATCCCTCAGGTTGGAAGCGTCAGTCACTCCATGACCAGCAGGAGTAAGAAGGAGTTGGCACAAAGAAAGGTGGGTGGAAGCAGTCAAAGCATAAATCCCAGTTCTGCTCCTGACGTGCTGTGATCTTAGGGATTCACAGGGGATTTCCTCATATACAAAATGGGGACAATAATGTCCACTTCCCTGAATTGTTGAGGAGTTAGTGCAATAATGCATGGCACTTTACAAGTGCTAATAAAATACTAACAGTACTTTAATATTCTTAAAATACTGATAGCTTTCGTCAGTAAGAAACTGGAAAACACATCAATAGCTATTTCACAAATATAGTTATTTGGTAGATAAACTCTTTAAAAAATAGACAGTTCATGATGGAAAAAATAACGGAAGAGAGGCTTAGGGCGAAAGGTGGAAAGTAACAACACACCATACTTATTAACTGCCTTTTGTGTGCCATACAAATAACATCAATCTGTGGTTCTAGATCCAGACAGACCTGGGCTCAACGCCTGGTTCTCCTTCTTCCTGGCTGCGCAGGACTGGACAGCTGCCTCATCTCTGGGGGCCTCGGCTTCCCAGTCCGGAAACAGGAAAACAAATACCGTCTACCTCACAGTGCTTTGGTGAAGACGGTGCCCGAAAAGCACTACTTCACACAGGACCTGAGAAGCAGCAGGCACTTGATAAACGCTCCCTTTATTTTAACTATTATACAAAAGAGAAAAAAGACAGCTGAATCAAAGTTCTCTCTAACAGCTCTTTAGGGAGAATACACTCATCTCGGGCAAAGCAGCGGCTACAAGAGTAACACTGTCTGAAGGTGCTGGGCCAGCTGACAGAGGCCAGGGCGCTGAACGGCAATCCCCCAAGCCCTTAGGTCAGGGACTGGCAGCAAGGAAAGGAGAACCAGGGCTGGCGCAACAGGAGGGCAGCAGAGTTGCATATGGATTTGCATCTACACCTCCGGAGAGGCTCCTCAGGTCGGGCACTCACATAGCCCAGGTGTGACAGTCATCTTTTGATATGTAACAAACCTCCCCAAATTTAACACCTTGAAGCAACATCATTTTGTTTATGTATCAACAATTTCAGCAGGACCCTGCAAAAGAAAAGAGGAAGGACAGAAGGGGGGGGTCAGGAAAAACAGAAGGAGGGAGGGAAGGAGGGAAGGAGGGACTGAAAGAAGGAAGGGAGGGAGGGAGGGAGGGAGGGAGAGTGCCAGGGGCCAGTTGATAGCTAGACAGATACATAGATGGGTAGATACTACTGAACATTACAGGAGGTCCGAGGTTGCTTGAATGTAAGAGACAGTAGGGAATACCCCACCTCTGTTGGCTCTGAAGGAAAGAAAATTCCTCTAGGGACTGGAGGTTGTGCCAGTGACCTCTAACCTCCCTTCTGGCTCTCAGCTTCATGACCCTGTCCAAGCACCAGACACAGTGATAATTAACATTCCCTTTTGCCCAAGATGGGCAGTGCATGCTTTCATCTTTCAGTGTTTATAAATGCCTTTGAAAATGGAATGTGCCTCATACATACTAAGAGCTATTATTAATATGGTGTCCAAACACCTCTCTCCACATGATAGTTAAGGAAAAAAGCATTAAGGGTGCAAATGTTAGAGAACTTTCAGAGGAAGCATGTGTGTGTGCACACCCCACTTTAGGAATGTTCTTTATTCTCGCCCTGCCTTGCGAGAAGCAGCCTGTTCACAGTGGCCAGAGATGTTGCAGAATCCAGTTCACGCAAGGGCTCAAATAGAGAACTGAGTGACAAGATTGGAGCATAATTCATCAATGCAGTTTTCAATAGGACCTCCTATTTGCTGTAAGACAAGAGCAGAGAACAATGGGAAATGTAAAAACTTGGTGGATACAAGGTTCTGGGCTGGAGTATAGCTATAACAAAGACATTGACCCAGTTTTTAAGGAGTTTATTCTCAGAAGATAGGCTTAAAGGCCAGTTGCCTGGGCCCCAAATAAAAAAAAAACCCACCAGGACTAAGCAAGGAGAGACGATCCTACATGTAGATAATCAGGGGTAGGTCATCGGAAATTTTTGCTGCAATTGCAGAGGCCATGGGTCAAAAACATCTTTGCTCACTAACGCTTTAAAAATCCAATGGAAGTTATGAGGCCTCCTCCCAGAGAAATTTGCATGCAAATAAAATTGTGCATTGTCTCACAAGAGTTCACACATTTCCTACAACTCTGTCCTCCCTGGGCCTTTTTCTGTACCTCCTGTGTGACTGTGACCTCTAAGTTGGGAAATTAAAAAACTGAACAGATTCAACGCAGAGAGCAGATCTTCTCCTACTCTGAATCCTGCATATCTAGACTGGTGCCCAGCACATCTTGCACCTAAAATGAATGCTCCTTGAATAAAGAAACACAGAATTAAAGTATTTTAAAGAGGAATAAATCCTCCTGTAGCTGTGGTCCCTAATGGTCTTTTGTATTTGTTTGGTTGCTGTTTAATACTTCCCAGGAGTCTGAGTCCATAGCCTAGAGAGCCAAGAACACTCGAATGAATAACAAAATCACCAGGAATCATTCAAGAACAAGGGAAGTGTGAATTTGCTCTTTTATCCCCCAACACCAGGTGCAAACTCTGTCTTGAAAAGCATTAAGGGACCCTCTGTAAATTGCAACATCCACACCTAAAATGGCAAAACTGAGGAGGTCTCTCTCCAGAAATCCCAGACGAATAGCAAAGCCGTGGGTAATTCAAGCCTTGGATCTACGTGATCAGAACCAGCCTGGGTGCACTTCTTCAACTTCCAAATCATCCCCCATCACGAAAGAAATGGGAGTCAGTCATGATAAAATGCCCTCTGGCTGAAAAAGCCGCTGGGATAAAGCCCTCAGTAAGACAGATGCCCAGTGGCAACTGTCCCCTGGAAAAAATGATCCTCTCATTCATGCAAGGTTCTCCATTCATAAAAGTCAAGATGGCAGGAGAGAGAGGCAAAAGGGAGAGAGTGAAGGAGGGGGTGGGCGGGTATGAGGGACTGAAGGAGGGCTTCTGGAAGCCAAGGCTTCTGGTTTCACCTCTTTCTAAAGTTAGCCATTTCCCTGGACGAGGTAAATAAAACACTACCATATGGGTATGACATGATGCAAATGAGGAGCCAGAGAGAAGAGATCTTAATAGCTACTAAGAGCCAGAAACCCAGACTGAAAGCCACATGGTGACCCATCTCCCAGCGGCCCCCCACCCCTGCCGCGCCTTTGCAAGCTGCGCCAGGGCTTCGCGTCTCGAGGGCTTCCAACTTCCGGCCACCTTGAGGGGCTTTTTAGTAAGTGCCGCAGAAGATAAATTTAGAAACCAGGCTTCCTTTTTCTCCCCTCTTCTGTTAGTCACACATAAATCAGCATTAACGAGGAACACCCCCCCCAACTTTCAATAACAGCCCCACGAGTAAGCTGAGTTTTAGCAGTTTCTCCACTCTGCTTCTCAGACCCTTCTCTACCTGCCACCCCCAAACAAAGGAAAACCTCGCCCCTGGCCCCTGCATGACCATGTTTTCTGTCCCCTCTTCTTTCTAAATGGGTGCCCCTGGCAAACGGCTTAGCTTCTTTGACCTCATCTGTGAAATGGGGGTAAGAAAATCTGTCCACCTGCAGGGCTGTCATAAGGCCCAAATGCAACAGCACCGGGGGTGTTTGGCAGCAAGCTGGGCATCCACTTCTCAGCGAAAAATGTTGTAGAAAAACCACCGTGAGTCCCTTTCCTCAGGTTTAAAATCTCCAATTCAGCCCCAAATATGATTCCTAAAGGCAAGCAGTTGTCACTCACTCCAGTGGTCTGCACCCCTGAGGGTCGTCAAAAAAAATGCTACCAAATGAAAGACTCATTGGCGCTCTCCTTTTCCTGAGCCCACTTCTTACGACATTTATGTTTATCAAGAAGACAAAATAAGGGCAGAGGTTTGGCACTGCTTTTACATAAGGGTCAAGGCATGGCTCATTTGTATATCATTTACATCTGTAGATGCGGATGGAGGCTGTAACTGCTCCTCACCCAGAGATGGTGCACAGCGAATCACGGGCCCACAGAACCTCCTCAAACCCCTGACAGGTGAGGTTTGCAGGGAGCGCTGGGCAGCCTGCTCAAGGGTGACCACACACGGGGCGATGCTTGGGGATGGGGCTCTTGTACGGCCACGCCGACCAGTCCGAGCAGGCTGCCTTCTGAAAAGGGGTTTGAGATGAAAGCACTGTTTGCCCTGGTCACCATGGATGAACAGAAGCCCGCCACTTGTCCTCTAAAGGGCCACGGCAACTCCTGGCTCCCTGCGGGATTGCTGGGGCTCCCCATCGGCACTGCGCCGGGGTCCTGCTCTCCCTCGACCGACCCCGTCCTGCTTCCTTCCCCGCCACAGCTGCTCCCCAGCCCAGTCCCGGTTAGCCTGCTCCACAGCCTCGGAGTCTCAGCCTCTTTCCCAGGAAATCTAACCTGTGACCGAGGCTCGGGAACTTGAACACTATCTTTGAGCAGAAAGTAGAGGAGCCGGGATTTGCTGCTGCCTCTGTGGCTTCGAGCCTCTGCTGTCGTTATCAGCAACAGTGCGTTCCAGACTGTTCCAGTCAGTGAGGCAACAGGAAACTTCTTGGAATTTCTGAGCAACCCAGAGCATGAGACTGGATGTGGCGATGGATAAGAAAAGGCGAAGCGGTGGTATTTTCAATTATAGAAAACACTGACTGCCCCCCCATACCCAATGATGGGGAAGGTGCTCCATCCAACATGTATTTTGAAAAGAAACTTGTAATATTTTAGAGCGTGTCTTATTTATTTTTTTGCTACAGATTCTTAGTGCTTTTGCAAAAAATGTGTAATGGCTAATTTTATATAAAACTAAAAAAAAAACTATTTCCAGATAAGTTCTGGCTTTGGGTGGGTTTTTTCCATCAAGTCTGTTTTTATATATTTTAGGATATCATTTATATGGTGGGATAAAGCGACTTTTTGGGAGTCTAAATATGTGATCTTCCTAATCCCAATGATACACTTGTGTTTATATCCAGATGCTTTGAAGTATACTTGTCTCTGGCTTCAGCCTGGATCGCAGACCCAGTAGTTCCAGAAGCTGGCAATATGGTAAATAGACCCCCCGGACTGGGAGAGGGAACACAGAAATTCTTCATGTGTTGGGAGCATCTTTCTGAGGCAGTGTCTCGAGAGGCTAGAGAGAAATCTAGGAGACAAAAGAAAGTGGAGTCACCGTAACAGAATCTTATGGAAAACTAAAACCGAATAAAGCATCCAAGACTCGAAGAAAAGAACTAATTCCAGATTCACATAATGTCTATGGGTCCTTACTGTACATCAGAACCCACTCTAGATGTATGTTTGCAAACTGCAACCTCACGACACGTCTATATGGAAAGGCGTACAAGATTTATCTCAGGGTGTGAGTACTGAGATTCAGGACAGGTAAGAGACCCCCCCCCGAAAGTTTACACTTGTGAGTTGTAGAGTGAGTACCCCCACCCTGATGGGCCAACTCCCAGTGTTATGCCCAAAAGCAAGAATTCATTTTCATCGTCATTGAAAATACCACTGAAGAAAGAAATTTCCAGTTCTTTTATAGTCTTACTCTTTCCCCTCTGGAGATGCAACATTGTAACTCTTGTTACATTTGACCAGGCAAATGGACTCTGGGTTATCTGCAAGTCTGTGTAAAAGCATCACCCACTCTGGAGGTATTTGTAAAAGCCAACATTTCTTCTGCTCCCCCAGAAATCATTCAGTCCTCCCCTGTGGCACTAATATCTGTGACTGGACTCTACATTATCAGCACTGATACATTCCAGCCTCCCCTAGAACCAATGAAAATAGTACTATATTGGTTCTGAGTAAGAAATGATTACAAGAAAGGCCAAATGATATCTCTACTAAGTATTAGTGACTTTGAGTTTTACTGATGCAAGGTTAGCCTCTTTCTATTTCAGAATCTTGGATGCCCTTGTTATGCATCAGAGCAAACGTTATCTAATCTCAAACTGAAGTCTACAAGAATTCAGCTGAATCCCATCAGGCCGAAATATGAGGCAGGACATTGGAATATTATTTTTAACTTTCATATTCTTTGGGAAATGTCTCCTTGAGCATTTAATCTCGCCAAGTCTCAGCTCCTTCATCTGCTGCATGGGGATATCTGTAGTAGTTCAGTTATCCTGCAGGCCTCATGTGAGTAATAAATGATCCCTTTGGTTTCTGGTAATATATTTGCTGAGCAACCTTGAATAACTTACACTGAATATTGGCTGCTTCATGAAAAAAATTTTGAATCATGTTTCCTCCCGATCTCCCCATACTCTACAGGCTTTGAGAGTTGCCTGTTGTCCTGTACCACCACCTGGGCTTGGTCCTCGAGGCCTTTCATGACCTGGCTTCAACATTCTCCCTCTCTAGGCTCCGTCACTACAACATTCCTTCTTACCACGGTCCAAGGCACACTACTCCTGAGACTGATTACTGACTTTCCCTTTGCATTGTTCTGTGCAATCAGCATCCCCTGTGACTAATAACCCTTGCCCTTGCTTCTGTGTCTGCCTGGTAAAATTAAGTTCATAATCAAAGCCCAATTTTCAAATGCCCCTTAGAGAAACTTGCCCTGACCCTCTCTTGCCAACCCGAGCTCCATGGCACTCTGCTCATATTGCCAACCAAGACCAAAAGGGTCTGGCCATACTCAAAGCTGGAATTAACAGAATCATGATCCATCAACTCAGGTCTCCTGGCTGCCTGTCCTGCTCTCTTGGGTCAGATGCTTCTGAGAAAAAACACAGTTATTCTAGGAACTGTGGGAGACTGATGAGCACCCAAGACAGTTATTCCATGTTTGACAAAGCTAATCTACTCGCCATTCTAATAAAATTGTGGAAATGCAATTGACTGGCCCCTATGACTCACTCGTGCTGGCTCTGTGTCCTCAGATAAGGCAAAGAGAGGTGGGTACAATGCTTATCCAGATAATAAACAAGGACAAAAATGAACTAAGGGGCTGTAATTCCATCAAGAGTCTCTGACAGCAACAGAAACACCCAAAGCAGGCTTCTGTGGTCACAGAAACGACCACCTCAGTAAAAAACCATTAGTCCTTACAATATTTGGCTTTGATTCTAGCAGACAAGACTCACCAGATAAGGCCACTGGCTGCAGTAACAGGTGGATTTGGGCAGCCTAGCAGTCCACAAATAGAAGATTCACTTTATGGGAAGAAATGCAATATATCCAAAGCAAATAGAGTAGAGAGGACTGTAAGATAGTAGGAAGATATATTGATTTTCATATTTTAAAAACTGAAAACATTGCATTTCATAAGTAAGTGTATATATATACATATATATATATATGTATATATATATATGTATATATGCCATTACCATTACAGCAACAATTAAACTATAAAAAAAAAGATTCACTTTATGTCAATGAAAGCGAAAGCAAATGAATCCCAGTTTAATGGCACCTTGAGTCCACAACCTCAAAATAGAATCACCTCTTCTCCAATTAGAGCATATGCCTGGGTGCAGAAATGGAGCACTGCAGGATGAAAATAAGGCATAGGAAGAAAGATTTTGCCATCACATGCAACTAACCATAAATTCTCACCTGGTATGGGATGCCAAGAGGATCTATAGGCACTGAGAAAGGGACCAGAGCAGTGACTCTGCCTTAGAATAATAATGTGGAATCTTTTGCATAACATTGTACAACAATTATCTTGATGGATCCTCACAAAATCCATAAATGTAGGCAAGCGAGCAGCATAATTGTCCTCATTTCACACGGAAGAAAAACGAGGCTCAGAGATCTTGAATGAATTCCCCAAAGTCAGGCAAGGGAGACACGCAGGGCTGGAAACAGTGCCCCTCCAGTGCAATTTCCACTCCACCAAACAACCCTTCTAGCCCGGGGGTTTCATGCAACATCAAACAGAGACAGAGAAAATCAGAAACAGTGAATGTCTATAGAAGAAAATAGAAAGTTCTGCATTCCAAAGGAAACTGTTTCTGAAGTTCTCAGGCAATAATAATAATAAATACTCACCTTTATTATTATTAATAATAAAGCTGGACTAGTTTTTCCTATCTATAATTTTGGTCTTCACTCTCCATGGATGTGTTTTACTAGGGAGGGAATACAATATATTTGTATTGTATGGGATCCGATGGCAGAGAGTTTTGGGTTAAAATACCAGCTCTGTATTCATTAGCTCTGTGGCTGTGGGCAAGTTACTCAATTCCTTTGAATCTGAATTTCCTTATGAAACTAGGGATGATTATTCATCCCAGGATAGAGTAAGAAGGAAAGAGAAGAGCATTTGAAAAGTGCTGAACAGAGTGGCCCTGGCCTAGTGGTGCTCACATGTATCTGGATCTAGAGAAACAAACTCCCTGACAAGTCTCATCAGCTAACAGTGAACACGTCACCCACAAGCACTTTCAAAGAGTGACTCATTTCAGTGTGGCCCCCCGAGGGCACCGCTCTCTGTGCGCCATTTCACACTTTGTGAAAAAGATACACGTTCAGGATCAGGAAATCAAACCATTGTGTTCAGGTCTCTGCCACTGGACCAGGAAATAAGTCAGTCTTTTTATCCACCAGCCAAAGATAAAGGACTGCCTTTCTTTGTGAATGGAGTTATTGCCTTACTAGTCCAAATGAAACACATCCTAAGTATCATCCCCAATACTATGGAAGCACTACATGTCAGTTAAGAATTTTTGAACACCTGCTAAGTGCCTGTCTCTCTGTAAAGCACTTCTACTCATGTGAGAACATTTGAGCCTTGAAAATGCCTCCACATGTAGCCTCTGGAAAGAATATTCTCTCCATTTTACAAGTTTGGAAACTCAGGCTCGTCATTGTCAAGGGTCACGTGGTTCCTACAGTACCTCAGCCAGGGCTCCAAAGATCATGCTCCCCCTTTCCTTTAGGACAGGGACTCCCAAGTCACCATCATGTCAGCACCCACCAGCCAGTACCCCAGAGCAAGTAAGGACATCAGAGAGGTTGCCCCCACCTCTGACTCACTACCGAGGGCCTCTGCAGCAGGCCTCTGGGCTCTGACACTTCACTTGTGAAACAGGATGGCACCTCACTTGGTTTGGGTTTAAGTCAGTATCAAATTTCTAAGTAGCCCGATTCATTTCAGAATTTCACATGCACCCTAAGTTTCCCAGAAAATCATTTGGAAGACCCTCCTTTCTTTAAGGTTGCTTTTTATTATTTTACTAAGAGAAAAATCTTCTTTTCACACACTTTTCTGGAGGGAACATTATGGCCAGGCATTCTGCTAGGTCCTAGAGATTGAGAAGCCGAATGCACGGATTCCATCTCTGTGCTCACGGAGCCAACAATCTAGGGGGAAAGAATGAACATAAACACTAAACTATAAAAGTGGTGATACAACCAAAATTCTGATCACTGCCGCCTGGAAGTCTAGAATGCAACAAGAGGGTTATCAGGGGATACTCCCTAATTCTGGGGTCAGCGAGGGCTTCCCTGGTATTTAAAGTTATGGTTAAGGAGAAAACGGAAGGATGAATACAAGTTAGTCACTTGAATGGGGTAACGACACTCCAGGCAAAGGAAACGGCTTTTGCAAAGCCAAGCCCTGGGAGCAAGAAGGAGCTTGACTTCTTTGAGGAAGTGAAAGAAGGCCAGGGTAGCTACAGCACCGAGACCCAAAGTGGAAGGAAAGGATATGAAGACTGGGCCAACAGGAAGACAGCACTGCTTTCAGAAGGACTAACCTGTGGTGGCTTTAGTCATTGTGAAGGCCTGTGTTCAGCCCAGTACACATGCCAGTTAATGTACTTGATATTTACAGAAGTCAGACCTAAACAAATGAAGAGCACAATTGGTTAACATTTCCTTCTCCCTCTCTTTCCCTTTCACCTTCCTTTTCTTGTCGATCATTATCTAACTTTCTCATTAGGGCAGGACTAGTAGAGACAAAGAGTTTCCTTAGAAACCGTAGGCGTTCCAAGGGTACAAACTTCCTTGAATATGTTCTGGGGATCTAATACTAAGGGTGACATGAATACTGTGTTGTGTACTTGAAGCTAAGAAAGTAGAGCTTAGAAGTTCTCACCACACACACACACACACACACACACACACACACAAAGGTCACTGTGTGAGGAGATGCATGTATACTAACCTTACTGTGGTAATCATCTTGCAATATATAAGTATATCAGATCATCACACTGTACACCTTAAACTTACACCAGGTTATATGTCACCTACATCTCTCTAAGACAGGAAAAAAATAAAACTTAAGAACAGTAAAGAAGAAAGAAAGGAAAGAAGAAGGAGGGAAGGGAAGAAGGAGCTGTATGTACTGCACAGGCTCATGTTCTGGTGTCCAGGGGAACATGGAATAACATGAAGCAACCAGTAAACTTCAGGGGTTTTTTTCTTCCACAAACAGAAGCATTTTAAAACCTCAGAGCACTTGCAGGATTAAATGAGGTAAGGTACATAGATCTACCAAGTACAGTGACTGGCACTAAGGGTTATGTACTGATTGCCGCCTTCTTTCCTATCCAGGGGAGAATAGAAATGGCAAAGGTTTATTGGTTGGGTCATGCTGACTTGGGTAATCAACAAACCCTATACATAAAGCCTCAGACATAACAGAAGTCTGCTCCTTGCTCGTGTCGTGTCTAAAATGAGTGTTCCTTATCGGCGGCCAGCTCCCTTCCCCCCAGCAATAGAGGGACGCCCCCCCTCTCAAGGATCCACCATAGTCTTCTGCATCAGGCCTGCAGAAAGGACCAGATGTGGAGGAGGCTGTCTGGGCCAGGCCTGAGTCTGGACCAATTGCATGATTGTACCTAAGTGCAGGAAATAGAGTCCAGAGAAGTACCCAGGAAGGAGAGAGAACAGGTGTACGTGACTAGCCGGCAGTCTGGGCCACTATATCAAGGTGACAGAGAGTTGTTTGTGACTAAATCCACTAAGCAGATCCATCTACCTGTAAACAGGTATTGCACACCTCCTTTCTGCAATGCCTCCCTGCAATTCAGGTACAGATGTAGCGATGACAGTAAATAAGACCATTATCTTTCTCCCAATGTGGAAGTTCCTGAGAACACATTAGAAGCCTGACTCCTCTGTCCTGTTTCTCTCTCCAAGCTCCCAGTCATCAGATTATCTGGTTTTCTCTCCTAAAATATGTGGAAATCCTTCCTTTTCCTCTGACGACTGCTACTACCCTTTATCGTCTGTCCTCCGAATCATGGCAACAGTCTCCTTACCTCCCTGTAAGCCAGACTAGCTCCCCCATGACCCCCAACTCCAGCCCACTCTCCTCCCCGACCAAAGGGCTGGCCCTCACATGCAAATCTCAAATGCAGTTGCTATTGGGCTGCTTCAAATCCCACTTGGATCATCAGATTCTGCAGGAAGAAGTCCAAAGCCCTGAATTTAATAGCTTATAGGACCTAGCCCTGCCCCTCACAAAGCCTCACCCTGTTCCAAGCCCTAGAGTGTTCCTAGCTGCCTAGCAGAGCCCAACTACTTATGTTTCCTGCCCCCAGAGCCACCCGACTGTTTCTCTCTTCCAAGTCTTCTTGGCCCCTGTTGACCTGCAGATGACATGCACATCTTTAAATCCCACCTCAGGCATCTCTGATTCTGGAAGCCTCTGGCGACCCTCACCTAGCTTCTCTACATTCTCAAAATCTCCTGTGCATATATTTCTCATTGAACTATAGCTGTAGTGTGTATGTCATCCATCTGCCCCACTATCCCTGAAAATCCCAGCAGGTAAGACAACTTGACAGCATTGAATGTCATCCTAAGGGCTTAGAGGTTAATCCTATAAAGTGGAGGAATACTGAGAATTTTTGATAAAGGAAGTGATACAATATAGTCAATATTTTAGCAAAATAAATCTAAGGAGAGAGACCATAAAGTAGATCCTGGGAAGGGCTGACTGAATACAGGACAAGAGCACAGAAGGGAGGAGACATCAGAGTAGAATTTTTATACATCCAGTATTTGAGGATTTGGGTCCCACCTCTACCAGATGTCATCAATGTAACCTTGAGCCCACCACCTCTTGGAGTCTTGTTTTATTTATGAACAAAATGGAAATAATAAATCATTCTGGACCATCTCACCAGATTGATTTGAGGACATTGCAAGATAATGAATGCTAATGTGCTTTAGAAATTCCAGTGGAATCAGTAGTGAAAATCCAAATAAACCCAAAGTGAGGAGGTCTCACCATGCCCTCATTGTCAAATAGAGCACCTTCTTGAAGTCAGGTAAGTCTCAGAACTCCCCAGGATTCCCTTGTGCAATGTGAGGCTAAGATCACCCCTGCCTGGCGGTCCCCTGAAAGCTAACCTGTGCATCTGAAGGGCTGTCATGTAGAAGAATGACATTCACTCCGTGAAGCGGTGGGACAGTTTCCAGGAGACAAATAGCAGCTTAACATAAGGAAATTTTTTCAGACTGTCGGAGCTGTCCAGAGGCTGCCTGGGGCTGGGTGTGGAGGCGGTGGTAAGCTCCATGAGATTGTAGAAGATGAGACTACAGTTGGAGACCTGGCTGCAGACTCCACGCACCAGCAAGGCTTGGGCCTATCCGTGTCTAAATTTCCTTCCAATTCTAAGATCCTGTTGTCCCCTGCCCCAGGGTGCACCTCTATCAAGGTACATGGAGCTCAGATGTAACCATCAGTTTATGACACAAAATGGTCAATTAAGAGGTCATTCTCCTCCAGTAGAATAGGATCATCCTAAAGCAGGGACTGGGGATCCTCAGTGCCTGTAACAGTTCCTAAAGCATAGACAACCCTCAGCAACTGTTGGTGGGAAGAATGGATGGATGAATGGATTGTTCCGAGTTGATTGGAAGGACACTGAGACACCTCAGGGGAAATCTGACAGTGTCTTCAAGGCTTGTGAGTGGTCATGGTGATTATATTGGTAGTACTTTCCAGGTGGGCCTGGGAGTCCTAGCCTCTAGGAGTTCAGCTCCTAGGAGTCCTGTTTTCAATGTTTTTAAATAACGGCTGTTGAAAGTGAGGCATTTGTCCATGTTGCGGTGAATGTTCAAAAACATTCAGTGTCTCTACATTTACCAGGAAGTTACAGCTTGGCCTGGTCACTCTTCATCTCATATAGCAAAACCATCACCCTAGAACTTTGCAGAACACCAGTATGTGAGGTCATTCTATCTCCAGCTTGCAGACAAGAAGACAGGCTCAGAGAGGCTTTGTGACCTGCTCAATGGTGGAAGTTTATAGTGTCAGAGGCAGAATTTTGAGCCAGTTTCTGCCTGGCTTCCTGGCCAGGTTCTCCCCACGGAGCACTTGGCTTCATTTCAGAAAAGGCCCCTCATTTAATGTGTGTGTCTCATCCTCACAGAGATCCTTGAGATGGGGTCTGTCCTGGATACCCACAATTCCCTTCCCTTGATAAGGACAATGCAGAGAGGGTCTTCTGACCACTCTGAAAACCCCGGGTTTGCGGAGAGGGTAGACATGTTATACATCACAGTGTTCCTGACCTCGTGGACCTCCCAGCCCCTCTTCCAGCAGACTTGCCTTCTTACCCTTGGATGATACTAAATAGAAGAACAACAGGAGGTTCCCAAGACGCCCAATTCTAGACTTCATGTTTCTAGCGTTGACAACTTAATACATGTCCTCACTTCCTTTTATGGGGAAAGATAAGACTCTGATCGTAATCAGAGCACCAGGGTAGGAAATGCCACATTCCTCCATGTAAATATTTTACTAAGCTTTCTCCAGGCCATGCATCATTGTGCCAAGCTCCCCGAAAAGCTTCAGGCCCACAGATCCGCAGGTGAGATACCTTGGCAATGAATTATGAGAGGGCTTGTTTAAAAACCAAGGCCAGAGCAGTGGATTCCAGGGGGCCCCAGCTCTATGTGACTGAAAGCTATTCCGAGGAAACAGCAGATGGGGGGTCGCATCCGGGGCTATTCTCTCCTAATCCCTGACAAAGGCCTTAGGAAGAAAAGTGACTGCAGTTATGTAGCTAATGGTCATGTCTTTTTATTAAGTGAGAAATCAGGAACAACCTGAAGGTTAATAAGGAATTACTTAAATAGATCCATCAATACACTACGCAAGCAATAATAAAAATATCGATAACAATGGCTGGCAGTTGATTGCTGACACTGTGCCAGTAATTATTGAAGGTTCTTGTCAACTAATCACCTCATTTAATCCTCACAACAACATTCTCTTAAGGTCTCTTAGGGTATTTATTACTCTGTTTTACAACTGCAGGTACTGAGGCAGGGAGAGGTTGGGCAAGGTGGCCGGAGTCGCATAGTAAGCAAGTGATGGAGCAGAAAACTAGGCAGTCACTGGAAATGACATTATAAATGAATATTTGTTGACTTGAAAATATGTTTATGAGAGTAAAGGGAAAAATGCAGTTTCCCAACTTGTGTGATTCCATTTCCTTCAATTAAAACAAATGGAGACCTACCTCACATCCATTAAGATGGCTACTATTCTAAAAAAGCAAAAGCAAACAAAACTCAGAAAATAAGAAGTGTTAGTGAGGATGTAAAGAAATTAGAACTGTTGGTGACAATGTCAAATGGTCCAGTTGCCTTGGGAAACACTATAGAGGCTCCTCAAAAATAAAAAAAGAATTACCACACGACCTAGCAATTCCACTTCTGGGCATATACCCAAAGCTATTGAAAGCAGGATCTCAGAGAGGTATTGGCACACTCATGTTTATAGCATCATTATATAATAGCCAAAAGGTAGACACCTGTTAGTATTTGTTTGGGTAGAAACCCAAGTATCCATCAACTGACGAATGTGTTGTATACATACAACGGAATATTATTCAGCCTTAAAAAGGAAGGAAATTCTGACACATGTCATAACATGGATGAATCTGAGGATATTATGCTAAATTAAATAAGCCAGTCACAAAAAGACAAATACTGTATGATTCCACTTCTTTGGGGTACCTAGAGGGTCAAATTCACAGAAACAGAAAGTAGAATGGTGGTTTCTAGGGCCTGGAAGAGCAGGCATGGACAGTTACTGTAATGGTAACATTTTCATTTTGAAAATAAAGAGTTCTGCAGAACATTTGCACAACAATGTGGATATACTTTACCCTACTGAACTACATGCTTAAAAATTGTTAAGATGAAACAAAAGAAGAGAAAGAATATATGGTTATAGTATTCATAAGCAAAACTCCAAAGGGATATGTTTCAGAGTTGAGAGTGAGCTGCACTGAGTTGTAGTTTTATAAATAAATGTATCTACCTTTTGCTTACCTAAATTTTTAAAATTTTCTTTAAGGAATGTATATGGCACTTGTAATAAGATTTTTAAAAACTGTTTTCAAAACAAGAGAAAAAGAATGAGGGAGAGTGAAAGCCTGAGTACAGGGACAGGAATCTGTCCCTATCATGCAGGGGTAGCAGGAACCACAGCTTCTGCAGGGGAGCAGGTGCCAACCAGGCAGGCTGTGCACTCCTCAGACCAGGGCCTTAGGCTCAAAGACCCAGCCTTTGTGAGGCAGAGGGTACAAGGAGCTAGAATAATCAGCAGCAAGGGGCCTTCCTCCATTAAAGAGCATGAACAGCCAGAGTAAAGAGTTAGAACTTTACATCTGCCTGGAATTAAGCACTGCCTTGGCGAACATCTGCAAGAAGGATCTTGTAATACCTATCTGAGCTAATACTGGAATTGGGGCCCATGGGCTAAGGAGAGCTGTGGGTGGGAATTAAGTCCCATCCCTGGCCTGCTACCCATTAAGATATGGAATCTGAATCTTGGAAACCATTCAAGGAACCTTAGAAAACATTCATTCCAAATGCCACATTCTACAGAAATCAAGGCCTGTGCAGGTGACCTGACTCACTTGGCATGACTTAGCCACGTTTGTGGCAAACACTGGATTACGTTCAGCTATCCTGAGCTATCAGTACATCCATCTATCCATGTACACATGCACTATTCATTCTTCTGTTCTTCACTCACACATTTCAACTTCAGATTTACACCAGGCTGAGGGAGGCACTTGCCATCTTTTTATCCCCTTCAGTGCTCCATGCAGAGGTTATCTGCAAAGGTTGTGCAATAAAAATTTCAGATGCAAGTTTATGCGTTGCCACATTTTCACTTCTCTTCACCATCACTGTGTTTGCACTATTGTTCATTCTTTAATCTATTTTGCTATAGTCACCTCATAAATAACCCACCCACCTACATGAGAAAATCTCAGACATGGACTGCTACAGGATCAAAATCTTCTATTTGAGCCATGTCTCTTAAATAGAATTTTTTATTCAAGGATTTGTTGTGCGTGTGTTAACCAAGCCCTACTTTTTCAGGACTTGGGGACAGTCTGGATGCCTTAAGCTAGACATTATAAGAACTGTTAGAAGTACAGCTCTACAGCTAGACAGAGCTTGGCCAAATCCTGGGTCCACCACTTTCAGCCATGTGACTTCAAACAGTAATTTAAACTCTCTCCGCCTGAGTTTCCTCTTGTATGAGGATTTCAATACCTGCTTCACATGTGCATTATATTGCATGGACAGCTCTTAGCAGTAGAGGTTAAGTAAATGTTAACTTTTCCATCCATCTATATGTAGTTTGTCTGAGGATTTAAAAAATTTAAAAACCAACTGTTTCTTTTCTCAAGGGTAGCTCTGAAGGTCAAGGAACAAAGATAAATGAGGGCAGAGTTTTATTCTTTGGATTAAAAGGAGGAAGTAGTTTAGCTACATTGAGCTAGTTTAGAACAGAAGCTGGCAAACTGCAGACCCTAGGCCAAATCTGGCCTGCCCTCCCCTTAGATTTTTGTAAATAAGGTTTTATTGGAACACAGCCACTATCATTTATATGCATATTGTCTATGCCTTCTTTCTTTATGACAAAGTGGAGTAGTCAGGACATTGTATAACCTGTAAAACCAAAAATGTTTACTATCTTCTTCTTTACATAAAAAGCTTGCCAGCTGGTTTAGGGTATTTGTGCTATTTTATCAGGAGATGATTGACACATGTCATTTTCCTCTCCAGGTCTCCAAGATGAAGTGGTGCCCAATGGCAAGGACAGCTGAAAGAAAGAGGCTCTTAGTTCTAAAGCAGTGTGAGAATCACCGTTTGCCCAACTTCTTCCGCCCTCCTATATACTAGTTACTGATGTCAAGTTGCACAAAACCAGAATGCGGTTTTCAAGTGGCAGGTGGTGGGGAGACTTAATTGGTTTCTACTAATAGATAAATTTGTTAGATGCTAAACAAAGAATAAAGAGCCAATGACTCTAAGAGGCCAATAACTAAGATTCACAGTCTATCTGAGTGGTTAACCCTATGATACTGAAATGACTCATCAGAATCTATGGCTTTACTACTACTGATTTCATTGGTTTCTGTCCCCATTTGTTCTCTTCATTCATTCTACAAGTAGGTTCTGATACATGCCAGGGTTCTTCAGAGGCTCTTGATTCATCCTCAGGGTTTTTTTTTCCAAGAGCTTTTAGCTTCTCTTAGCAGTTGAATAAACTATGAAAGTTTCTGCATTATTCCAATCTGTGAGCTTAACCTCCGAGCTATTGATTTGGGCAATAGTAGGAACAAGGTCAAGTACAGAGTGTTAACTTGATCTGGATGTTTCCAAGTTTGGAAAGGGAGAAAGGAGGTTCTCTGGGTGTATCAAGCAGAAAGGGGCTTAATACAGGGAATTGAAAGTTTACACAATTGTGGGATGGCTTATAGCCATGTTGGTGGGGAAATCTGCCAGAAGTGGAATTCAGGAAGCTGCTACCCCTGCAATCCAGGAAATACTCCTGAAGTGGACAATTCTCAAGAGGACGAGTGAAAGGAGGCCACCAGCAACAACCCACATGTACTGACAACTACTCGCTGACCTCTGCCACTGAGAATAAGGACTTCTGCTCCTCCCTGGCCATCAAAACACCATATTAGCACGTCTCCTTAGCAGAATCTAATCATGAACTCTGTTGGCAAAAGTCTAAGGAATATGGTCCCAGGCTAGCTTCTCCCATGAAGGGGGGGAGTACGTAGAATGAAAAAGGGGATAATGTTGAATTGACAGTAAATAACCCTGGTTTTAGAGAGATTCAGGAAGACTTTCTAGAGAATATGATGCCAGAGATTGAGTTTTGAAAGATCAAGGTTGGCCAAGCCCTGGCTTTGGTCAATGATTCATCAAAGGAGTTTCCCTTTCTAGGCTGCAAGAAGCCTGAGTTAGGGAAGTACCACCTTCCTAAGAAGTGTTCATATTATGCAACCAAATGAAGAGGTAGCTATAAATAGTCTACTTTCTCACCATTCTGTTCAAAATGGATAACCGCAAGCAACTTTTCCTTCCTGGAGAAATCAAGTTATGAGTTAATAGTTCCTAAATCAAACAGGAATAGCCCTCTTCATTGGAAATATAAATGGGGGTGGGTTTCTCTCAAAAAGGATTTCATAAGCAGTTTGGAACTGTTGTGCCAAGGGAAGGAGATCTTCCAACTACAATGGTTGTCAGACAATGCCCAGGGTGAGACCCTAGCATTCTCACCTTGATCTGACCCCCTCTCCTCCCTGACACCAGCCTCCGCTCTCCTTTTCATAGCATCAGGAACTCTCCAGATAACCAGGTAGTTCACGCTTCCTCTCATCTTTCCTTTAAAGTTCAGATTGACAGAACAGCATTGGGAATGTAAAGGAACAGCATCAGTTAAGCACATACTGTTTCTCTTGCTATGTTCAATGCTTTGTGCACTATGAATTGAATCCTCCAAAGGACCTTTGAGGTAAGTCCATTACCCCCACTTTCCAGATGAGGAAGCAGAGGCCAAGAACAAAGCAACGTTTCTGAGGCCACACACTCATGCTTTCCTCCAGAGAAAATGGTGAGACTCCCCCCACGCTTCACTACTATAAGCGAATCCTGAATTCCATGGGGTGTTTCTGGGCCACATGGAAGTCATAACATCCTCATGGTTTTGCAAATCCACAGATAAGCTTGGGCTCATCTCTCATAACTTCCTCCCTTCCCGCTTTACCCCAGGGAAACTGGGACAGCCAGATCTCACCGTGGCCAACAACAATAGCCACAGCAGGGTTCCGCCCCAACCTGACCCTCCCTCTGAGTCATTTCGCCACCAATATGAAAAAAAGAGACGGCTCCTTAGAGACTAGAACCCACGTAGATTTTCAAAATTTCAGGTGAAATTCATCTTAGAGTATTTTATTTCTCATTTGTTATCTTCTTTACCTTTCATTGTTTATAAATCAAGTGAATATTTGTGTTAGAAAAAATAGGAAATACCGGTATATCTAAAGAAAAGTAAAATCTATGAACACATTACAAAGATAAAATTCATTGGTTCTCTTAAGACAATGAGTTCACTCTATTTTTCTTCTCCAAACCCATCTCACGTATTTCCCAGTCTTTGTAAATAATTCTTGGAAGATTTGGGATCCACATCATTGTTATGACACTACTATTTTACATATTATAAATGCTGTTTCCTGAATGAATTTCAGGTTTTAATTCACTTTTATAACCACAGTGGTGAGACTTAAACTTATCTCTTCTTTAATTGCTATTATTGCTCACTGCTGCCCCCTCTACATGATGACCATCTAGTTCTGAGCTCTTAATTGTGTTTCATTACTCAATCTGCAAATGTCTTAAAGTTTTAAAAGAGGTTTTGGAGATGACATTTTTCTTCTCCTTTGCATATCTAGTGATGTTATTTTGTTCCCTGCGTATGTGAATGCTAACAGGAACATATAGATAACATTCCTGGGGCATATCCTTTTCTTCTTCAAACTCTGTAGATGTTACTAAATGATCTTATGGTGTTTAGTGTGCCGGGAACATGAAGATGAAGGCTAGGTTCATTCTTATCCTCAGAAACAACTGCCGTATGTCTGGATATTTATGGAATGTTGTATTTATGTTAGGAGGCTCATATTTTCTCCAGGCTACATGACTGTAAAGCTTTTATCCTTGAGTTTACCTGAATTGGGGTCAATTCTGTCTGTCTCCCATGAGCTCGCTTTAGCTCAGGAATGCTTCCCTGTATCACATGGCTCCACAATTTCTGGCCAGTATTTCTGAAACCTTCATGACTGTTACTCTCACCCTCTCAGCTCTTCGTCTCCTTTTTCTAAATTCTGGAAGATTTTCTCAAGTATGTCGCCCCGCCACCCGTGATAAGCTTCATGCAGCAGAATACTGCCTTAATTCCAGCCTTGAGCACATATCCTTCTTGCTCTGTTTCATCTGGTTCCCCAGTCACTCCTTTGCCTGTTTCCCTCCAGATCTTCCCTCCAGATATTTTGCTTCCATTTCAGAAACACCTTCATTGATATTTGTAGGAGTACCAAACAGTCTCCTGAAATGATCATCTAGAATCTGAAATAAATCATTCTTAGCATTTCTTTGCCTTGCTGATATTCTTCCTTTCTGTTTTTTTTTTTTTTCCTTTTTTTGGCAACATCTTTTTTTTGGCCCCTTGCTGCTGCTAATGATGATGATCTAGTTTGTTTACTCATTTTTAGACAGGGCAAGGCCAGCTTGTCAGGATTGGTTAAAGCCAGAAAAAGCACTTTGCTCTGTGCCCTGTCTGGTGGTCAGATCCATCCAATCCACAATTCATGTTCACAGATCCCAGCCCGGTTCTTGATTAATAGCCTGCTCTTCCCTGGGATGCTGTGCACGGCGTCTGGCTCCCTCTTCGTCGGCGCTCAGCCCAGCTTCCGGTTCCCAGAGATGACGCAGCACCGGAACATCCGGGACCCGCACAGGCAGAGCGGGCCTTCCTGCCTCGCCAGCTGTCTTCAGAGCCTCGACAGGCTCACTTACCTCCCTGAGGTCAGTCTCTCCCTATTTTCAGTCCACTCATTTCCCAGGATTTCCAGGATCTGCCTGGCTTGGGGGAAATGGGAGAAGACAGAGTCTGAGAAAGGAGAAATAATACTAAGAGAACGACTGCAGAGAAGAGAAGCAACTGTTCCATTTAGAGTTGATGCCAGGCTGGGGCTGAGCCTGCATGCAGGAGAAAAGAAAATGCCTTTCGTTTTGGTGGGATTTCTTCATGAAGGAAAGCAAGAGTGTGCCATGCCGTGTGCTGGAACCATGATAGGTCACCTTCACTCCAGACCCATCTACCCCATAGTTATTGTGAATCATTCCAGATTCTGTCGTTAGCTTGTAGGATCCGTCTTAGCTTTCTGTCTCACCTACAGGTTTAACAAGAAGAGCTCTATGGCTCAGCTTTGCCAGCCCCCAGCCAGCTCGCATTTTGAACCAGAAGTCAGGGGGGCAGCTTATTGTGAACTTTGCCAATTTCCAATCACCTATTATCTCCGAGGATCAAAAAGAAAGTGCCGAATAACTAAAGCCCAGGGTGGCCTGTCCCTCTCTTCTACACAGTCTGGTTGAAACAAGAGGGAAAAGGTGACAAAAAATTGTATCTATTTATTTAGTGAGATACCTTGGCAATGAATTATGAGAGGGCTTGTTTAAAAACCAAGGCCAGAGCAGTGGATTCCAGGGGGCCCCAGCTCTATGTGACTGAAAGCTATTCCGAGGAAACAGCAGAAGGGGGGTCGCATCCGGGGCTATTCTCTCCTAATCCCTGACAAAGGCCTTAGGAAGAAAAGTGACTGCAGTTATGTAGCTAATGGTCATGTCTTTTTATTAAGTGAGAAATCAGGAACAACCTGAAGGTTAATAAGGAATTACTTAAATAGATCCATCAATACACTACGCAAGCAATAATAAAAATATCGATAACAATGGCTGGCAGTTGATTGCTGACACTGTGCCAGTAATTATTGAAGGTTCTTGTCAACTAATCACCTCATTTAATCCTCACAACAACATTCTCTTAAGGTCTCTTAGGGTATTTATTACTCTGTTTTACAACTGCAGGTACTGAGGCAGGGAGAGGTTGGGCAAGGTGGCCGGAGTCGCATAGTAAGCAAGTGATGGAGCAGAAAACTAGGCAGTCACTGGAAATGACATTATAAATGAATATTTGTTGACTTGAAAATATGTTTATGAGAGTAAAGGGAAAAATGCAGTTTCCCAACTTGTGTGATTCCATTTCCTTCAATTAAAACAAATGGAGACCTACCTCACATCCATTAAGATGGCTACTATTCTAAAAAAGCAAAAGCAAACAAAACTCAGAAAATAAGAAGTGTTAGTGAGGATGTAAAGAAATTAGAACTGTTGGTGACAATGTCAAATGGTCCAGTTGCCTTGGGAAACACTATAGAGGCTCCTCAAAAATAAAAAAAGAATTACCACACGACCTAGCAATTCCACTTCTGGGCATATACCCAAAGCTATTGAAAGCAGGATCTCAGAGAGGTATTGGCACACTCATGTTTATAGCATCATTATATAATAGCCAAAAGGTAGACACCTGTTAGTATTTGTTTGGGTAGAAACCCAAGTATCCATCAACTGACGAATGTGTTGTATACATACAACGGAATATTATTCAGCCTTAAAAAGGAAGGAAATTCTGACACATGTCATAACATGGATGAATCTGAGGATATTATGCTAAATTAAATAAGCCAGTCACAAAAAGACAAATACTGTATGATTCCACTTCTTTGGGGTACCTAGAGGGTCAAATTCACAGAAACAGAAAGTAGAATGGTGGTTTCTAGGGCCTGGAAGAGCAGGCATGGACAGTTACTGTAATGGTAACATTTTCATTTTGAAAATAAAGAGTTCTGCAGAACATTTGCACAACAATGTGGATATACTTTACCCTACTGAACTACATGCTTAAAAATTGTTAAGATGAAACAAAAGAAGAGAAAGAATATATGGTTATAGTATTCATAAGCAAAACTCCAAAGGGATATGTTTCAGAGTTGAGAGTGAGCTGCACTGAGTTGTAGTTTTATAAATAAATGTATCTACCTTTTGCTTACCTAAATTTTTAAAATTTTCTTTAAGGAATGTATATGGCACTTGTAATAAGATTTTTAAAAACTGTTTTCAAAACAAGAGAAAAAGAATGAGGGAGAGTGAAAGCCTGAGTACAGGGACAGGAATCTGTCCCTATCATGCAGGGGTAGCAGGAACCACAGCTTCTGCAGGGGAGCAGGTGCCAACCAGGCAGGCTGTGCACTCCTCAGACCAGGGCCTTAGGCTCAAAGACCCAGCCTTTGTGAGGCAGAGGGTACAAGGAGCTAGAATAATCAGCAGCAAGGGGCCTTCCTCCATTAAAGAGCATGAACAGCCAGAGTAAAGAGTTAGAACTTTACATCTGCCTGGAAATAAGCACTGCCTTGGCGAACATCTGCAAGAAGGATCTTGTAATACCTATCTGAGCTAATACTGGAATTGGGGCCCATGGGCTAAGGAGAGCTGTGGGTGGGAATTAAGTCCCATCCCTGGCCTGCTACCCATTAAGATATGGAATTTGAATCTTGGAAACCATTCAAGGAACCTTAGAAAACATTCATTCCAAATGCCACATTCTACAGAAATCAAGGCCTGTGCAGGTGACCTGACTCACTTGGCATGACTTAGCCACGTTTGTGGCAAACACTGGATTACGTTCAGCTATCCTGAGCTATCAGTACATCCATCTATCCATGTACACATGCACTATTCATTCTTCTGTTCTTCACTCACACATTTCAACTTCAGATTTACACCAGGCTGAGGGAGGCACTTGCCATCTTTTTATCCCCTTCAGTGCTCCATGCAGAGGTTATCTGCAAAGGTTGTGCAATAAAAATTTCAGATGCAAGTTTATGCGTTGCCACATTTTCACTTCTCTTCACCATCACTGTGTTTGCACTATTGTTCATTCTTTAATCTATTTTGCTACAGTCACCTCATAAATAACCCACCCACCTACATGAGAAAATCTCAGACATGGACTGCTACAGGATCAAAATCTTCTATTTGAGCCATGTCTCTTAAATAGAATTTTTTATTCAAGGATTTGTTGTGCGTGTGTTAACCAAGCCCTACTTTTTCAGGACTTGGGGACAGTCTGGATGCCTTAAGCTAGACATTATAAGAACTGTTAGAAGTACAGCTCTACAGCTAGACAGAGCTTGGCCAAATCCTGGGTCCACCACTTTCAGCCATGTGACTTCAAACAGTAATTTAAACTCTCTCCGCCTGAGTTTCCTCTTGTATG